GCCAAAAGGATATAAACCAACTAAACAGATTTATTACAAGAAATGAAATTGAAGCAGCAATAAAGAATCTTCCAATAAAGAAAAGCCCACAACCATTGGATTCACAGTCAAATTCTACCAAACCTTTAAATGAGATTAATACCAAATGCTCCTGAGACTGTTCCAAAAATTAGAAATGGAAGGAACACTACCAAATTCATTTTATTAAACCAGTATTTCCCTGATACAAAACCAGATAAGAAACTCATAGACCAGTTTCCCTCATAGGTGCAAAAATTCTCAATAAAATACTTACAAACTAAGCTCAACAGCACATTGAAAAGATCATATACCATAAGCAAGTTGATTTCATTCCAGGGATGCAAGAATGGTTTAATATAGCTAAGTCAATTCCTATAATACAGCACACGAACAAATTAAAAGACAAAAATTACATGATCCTCTCAATAGATGTAGAAAAAGCCTTTGACAAAATTTAACATCCCTTCATGATAAAAGCCCTGAAGAACTAGGAATAGAAGAAACATACCTCAACACAGTAAAGGCTCTATGTAAATCCTAAATAAGGAAAAAGTGAAACCATTTTTTCTAGTTCAGGAACAAGACAAGGGTGTCCACTCTCCCCACTTTTACTTAATACAGTACTAGAATTCTTAGCCACAGCAATAAGGCAAGAGAAAAGAAATAAAAGGGATACAAATAGGAAAAGAAGTGGAATTATCAATATGCAGATGATATGATCCTATATGTAGAGGATCCTAAAGTTTCTACCAAAAGAGCTTTTAGATCTGATAAACAGAGCAAAGTAGGATACAAAAAATCAACATTAAAAATAATTTGCTTTTCTATAAACCAATAATGAACAGACTGAGAAAGAAATCAGGAAAACAACCCTATTCACAACAGCTTCAAAGAAATAAAGACCTAGGAATAAACCTATGAAAACTATGAAACACTCAAGAAAGACACTGAAGAGGACACTAGAAGATGGAAAGACCTTTCATGTTCACAGATTGGCAGAAATAATATTGTGAAAATGGCTATACTACTGGAAGCAATCTACAGATTGAATGCAATCCCTGTCAAAATTCTGATGATATTCTTCAGAGAAATAGAAAAATCATTCTCCCTTTGTTTTGATGCACCAGGCTTCTTTCTAGTCATACTTATTTCTTTATCAAAGGATTGCTTGGTTTTCTCTCCTAAACACCCTTTTTGTTCTTTACACAGTCAAGCAGTTGATCTTTCTGTTCTGCCTCACTGTCATGAGCTCTGTCTTCAAATAGTTTCTCTCTTCTACTTGACTACACGAAGGTAAGAGAAACTAAGCAGCATCCTGAATACTTCGGTGCTTAGAGATTTCTTCTGCTGATATCTGAGTTCATCAGCCTTAAGTTCTGCTTTCTACAAAGTCCTAGGAACAGACATAATTCAGCCAAATTCTTTGCCACTTTTTAACAAGGATGGACTCTCTCCTAATTTCCAAGATGTTCCTTGTTTCCACTAAGACTTCATCAGAATGGTCTTCAGTGTCTGTCCATATTTCTACTATCATTCTAACTGCAACCATTAAGACATTCTCGAAGAATTAAGCTATACTCTTCCCTTCTGAACCCTCGCCAGAATTGTCATGCTCCATTAATGGCAATACAGGCACGATTTTTTTTTAGCAATTGATTCACAACTGCTCCAAATTCTACCCATTATCCATTTCCAAAGCTGCTTCCACATTCTTAGGTACTTGTTATAGCAACACCCCACTGCTTGGTCCACTTTGTACTGCTGTAATGAGAAAACAGGTATTTACTACTCGTCATTCTCCAGTGTGGTAAGGCCAAGATCAAGGTGTTGGCCAGGGTCTGATGAGGGCTGCACTCTGCCACCAGTACAGTGCCTTGACTGCTACATCCCCCAGAGGGCAGAAAAACTCTCCTCACATGGCAGTTAAGCACTTTTATGAAGGCATTACTCTGCTCATGAAGATGGAACCCTTATGACCTAAACACTTCCCAAATAGGCTCCACCCCCAACATTCTTGCACTGGAGATTAAGTTTCCAACACCCCAATTTGGGGGCACATTCAGACCATAGCTCCTTGGCTTCTGGATGAAGGGATAAATGACTGAATAAATGATTCCAAAAGCCATGCCCACCATCAGCAGAGAGCCAAGCACAGAGTAGGCACAAACCTCTTGCTGTAAGAATGTGGATTTCATATTGATCTCTTGTACTTGTCAAAGAGAACTAAGTGTAAGCGTACAGGATATTGTTAGAAAACAATTGATCATTTAATCTAGACCTCACCAAAATTCAGTAAGTGTCACATCCCAGTCCCAGGAAAATTTAGTTTAATATTAGGTTGAACAATATAAGATGGCCTATTATTTGATCATTTCTTATGTACAAAAATGGACACTCCATATGGATCAACTTAAATCAAAGCCTGGGTAGCCTGTTTTTTATTTTTAAGAAGAGAAATAAAATGACAAAGCTATTCACTGAATCAAAACCCAAGTACACTGGGACAAACTGCAATCCACTATCAGGTAAGTAAGAACCTATTGTAAAAATTTAACATCTTCCCAAATAGGCAAGCTAAGGGTAAAATGGCTTTTCATTTTCATAGAGAAAGTAGGAGCAAAGGATTAAAACGTCCTTTCACCATGTAAACTGCAGTGGATCTGTGAAACTTTCTTGCAAAGATTTCATGATATTTAAATATTATTGGGATGTTGTTTTTAGTGACTGACTTCGAATGAAGGCTCATTATGCTCTACCATTGACTAGCTCCATTGTGGTAATTGGTATTATTGTATTGGGCTAAACAGACAGGGGGCGGGGTGGGTGGTAAGGGAGGGGGTGGGGGGAGGGGGGAGAAATGACCCAAACATTGTATGCACATATGAATAAAAAAAAAAAAAAAAAAAGAACTCCTGGTCCATTCGAAGACAGGAAGACAGGATCTTGTCTACCTGAAGACTTTTCTTAGCCGTTCCTCTTAGAACTCACCTTCTATTCTTGGTCATGTTGAACCAAGTGAGGAAGGACTGGTGACTAGCTGGAGCTTGATCAACTGCTTAACCTCTAACTCAGTCCGCCCTTCAGGATGATCTAAAAGCAGACCTCATCTTTGTCATTATGGAGTGCACAAAGCCCAAGAGCATCAAGGAAAGATGTAAGAGACTAGGATGACGGTTGTTCTGTTTATTTTTATTCAAATAAATACAATACTTGAATATAGCCTGATCATGTATTTTCAGGCTGGTGTGCTTAGGTTTTTAGACAGCAGTGCTGTGATCACAATGAGACTGTGCTATAATTTGAAACAAGTATTTCAGACACACAGGCAAATAGCAGGCTTTTTGGTCAAAAGGAAAGAAAGAAAAAAAGTCAATCAAAAGCTCCATGGTGTCATCAGCCGACCTGAAGACAAACGTTTTATTTTTTTGGTACAAATTCTATTTTTATAACGTACCTTGGGATAAAATGTAATTGTTTCCTTTCTTTTCCCAGGCTAGGCACTTAAAAGAGAGATATTTCAGGAATGGGCAAGTCAGTTCACTAAACGCATTGAATTTGATTTCCCAAAAAAATTCAAACAGTGTGGAAGAAAACTGCATTTAGCCTTTACTATCAGAGCTAGTGAGACTGACAATGATTAAAATATTTTTTGATGTATAGCTGATAAAATTCAGAAATGCAGGTGTTGGAGAAATTTCATTTGTTCCAAATTAGTTTTGCTTCCCCTGGAATTCCGTCTTGAAAATTAAGCAGGAGCTTCTGCAGTTTGAATTGGTCTGATAGTTTGAAAAAGCTACTATCCTCTCTGTGACTCAGTCTCTGCTACTCCCACATATTGATTTAATTTAAATAAAAGTTAGGACTCTGATTGCTGAGTCAGTTTGGCCCACAAGAAGTTCAGACAGTCACCCATTCTTATTTCAATGCAACCCGGGGTCAAATTTGACTTAAAAACTATCTTTTTTATAGCCAAAAAGTAGCTAAAGACAGAAGCCTGAGGCAGGTGGCCCTGTGAGATGGCAGGTTTAAGAGTGTGTGGCCTAGGCCAGGCTTCAGTGCTAGTGAAGCTCTGCCCTGACTTGCTCCAGCTCAGTCACCTCTGAAAAGTGGCTGCAGTGCTTGGAGAGAGAGCAGGGCTGGCACAATGAACCTCCCTCCCTCACCCCATCCAGCACTACTGTCCTCTCTGTGGAGTCCCTGGGAGAACAAAGGCAAGTCCTGCTCCTTAGCAACTTCAAACACTGTCAGGTTCTCATCCCACTTCCTCTGTTAGGAGGAGATTTGGCTCAGCAGCAACTCAGGAGTAGGAGGAAGGCCTAGTGTATTGAGAACAGCTCCCGCCTCCTGTGACAGCCAAGGCTGGAGAGGTTGTCTGGGAGCCTGACAAAGAACAAGTCTACTTTCTACAAGTAAAAAAATTCCAATCACTCCACAGTCAATCCACTGAAGTAACTAAATCACTCTGAAAGAATACACTTTGAAACCCTTTATCATGTGTATAAAAAGAAAAACAAAAAACTTCAAACAAGTTTTAAAAGTCCTTTAAAGATTATTAATAGCCTTCTTAGTAACAAATATAAAACAATGTAAGACACTTGGTGACTTTCTTAGGCCGTGTGTCCGGGGGGATGGCTACACAGTGAATTTTTACTGTTAAAATGACCTATTTGGTAAAAACTCTAGGCTGAGTTTTCTGTCAAGAAAATAAGTCTTTGGAAAGAATTATTCTTTTCCAAATTGTCAAAAAGAATAAAGATGTAAACATCACATACTTTAAAAGTTACTAGAACAATATTAATTCAGTCAAATAAATAAAAGCAAGTGGCACCAACTTTATGGCAATTTTTTAGGACTAAGACATAGCTCAAGGATATTTAAAAATAAATAATTGCTCCAAACAAAAATAATCATCCTCAGCACAAGCCAATGGCATTTAAAATAAAGTGCTATGAGAAAAAAATAACTCCACAAACTTCAGCTTGTTTACATATAAACAGAGATGGTATCTGGAAATTTAGGTCTGAAATATGCATCACAAGGAGAAAGTCAGCTTCACAAGAGGCTGGGCTTGGGGCTGTCTTTTGCCATTTTTCTTTTTTCTTCCAATGTGTGCTTAAATATTTTCTTCAGGGTGTTGTAAACTGTTGGTCCATTTTCAGAGTCAAAATTAACCTGATGGCAAAGAAAAGTTCTATTCAGGATACTGTAACAGGAATTCAAATCATTCTCTATTTGGGGAAAAAAGAGGGGACTGGAAAAAGACTAAGACTTACAAACAAAATTATGTATAATTTTAAAATATACATAATAAATTCCACACATTTTTAATTTAATTACTATTAGAATTGCCAATAATGTCAATGCCAAACTTTTGATGAAAACTGGACAGTTACATCTAGTGCCTGTGTATATAGCATGATCACATACAGCTAGCTGCAAAGAAAGTCAACATCAGTGAGTGTGAAGTGCATTTTTAATTGAGACTAATCATTGATGTTGTAAGAGAAGTTTCCTTCAGTAAAACAAAACACATTAGCTGTATTTGTGGCACTAAGAGCCTGGCTTTCCACCTGCTGGCTATATATCCCCATCTCCTACTTTCCCTCTCTGGGCCTCAGTTTCCTCCTCCTACAATATCCACTGTCTTAGGATTTTTGTGACGGCAAATGAAATCTTACACTCGTGTATTTAACACATTTTGTATATATAAAGGCCTCAGTAAAAGTTCGATTCTGTTCTCCCTGCTGAGAAAGCTTCACGTGCGCATGCTTGGGCTCTTTGCTCTCCTCTGGGGAGAAGTGACTGTACGGTAGAGAACCAGAGCAAGTACCTGGCACTATTCCCAGGGTAATGTGTGGCCCACTGGGAAAGGACCGGGGCCGGTTCCCAGCTTCCCCTTCATGGATCTGCTCCTACTCAAATGAGCTCTGACGAAGGGAAGGCTGCCCCCACTGGCAACACCGGCAAAGGATCTGAGCTTTGCCCTACAAGCTTGTTCTGTGTCACGGCACGGTTAGAAGACACGAGGCTCCTGAGACAGAGGCAAGCAAACTCATTCCTCCTAGTGTGTGCTGGATTTCCTGTAGGTACCCCTATCCACAAGTTCCTTGAGGTGACAAGGCCCAGATGGAGGCTGTGCAGCAGGGGTTCTGCATCACAGCTGGGGAGCCCAATCTTAGGAAATCCCACCCCCCCCTGTTTTGCAATGCTGAGGATGGAACTCAGGGCCGCATGCAGTTAGGCAAGCTCTCTACCACTGAGTTATGCCACCAGCTCTAAAATCCCAGTATCTTGTAAGGGAGACATTATTGTTTTACACAGGAAGACAGAGAATGTAGTTTTGGCCCAGCAGGAGTAGCTGCCAGGCCTCAGCTATCACACTGTGCATGGATATGAGACCCATGGATAGCAGTCTTCTAGTATTTCTGTTTGGTTTTTTGCAGTGCTTGGGATCAAACCTAGGGCCTTACATGTGCTAGGCAAATGTTCTACCACTGAGCTACGTCCCCAGCCCCTCTAATATTTTTAGAGACAGATTTCAAATAACTGATACATCTAACTTTTCATTGTTATCCCCTTAAAAAGTCGATAGACATTGTAAAAAAACTTCCTTCTGCTTTGCAAGAGGGCCAGTATTAAGAATTTTTCCCAAATTCATTAATTTTATCTTAACAACAGTATTCATCCTATATGCAAAAAAATTACTTATTAACATTAATAACATTTGAAATTGTTTACTTCTAAAATGGCAAGCTATAATCCATTTCACATGGGTAGCTGGCTTTCAGTCTATGACAGTGTGAATGGAAGGAACCAACTGATTTGGACTTGAGACTGCTGACTGGAAACTGAAAAGATGTTGAGTGCCCAGTGCCATCAAATCCAGAGAAAGAACCAGGAAGCCTGCAATAAGGAGGCCACTTTGGAAATGTGGAAACTGTAGAAGGGAAAGAGAACGGGCAAATCTTCCTAATGAGTGAGTGAATGCAAATAATAACTGCTATTAACCTCATGATAACACAATGCCATTCAAAGCTGAGTTCTTTGTTAAATGACATTGTCTCATATATGTGACATGTACCAGACAAATCAGTTGAGGGTGAGGGGAACATAGTCCTCTCTTGGCATGACCCGGCTCTTTCTTTAGCAAGGAAAAATTGCCAAAAGGTGCATGAGCCCGGCTTCTTTCTTTAGCCAGGAAAAATTGCCAAAAGGTGTGCAGAGAGGAATTTTTTTTTTTTAAAACTCTGTGCTTCATCCATGTTTATTGCGGCACTATTCACAATAGCCAAGTTATGGAAACAGCCAAGATGCCCCAGCACTGACGAATGGATTAAGAAAATTGTATCTATACACAATGGAATTTTTAGCAGGCCATGAGAAGAACGAAATGTTATCATTCGCTGGTAAATGGTGGAATTGGAGAACTCATTCTGAGTGAGGTTAGCCTGGCTCAAAATACCAAAAATCGTATGTTCTCCCTCATATGTGGACATTAGATCAAGGGCAAACACAACAAGGGGATTGACTATGAGCACATGATGAAAGCGAGAGCACCAAGGGAGGGGTGAGGATAGGTAAGACACCTAAAAAAACTAGCTAGCATTTGTTGCCTTAACGCAGAGAAACTAAAGCAGATACCTTAAAGCAACTGAGGCCAATAGGGAAAGGGGACCAGGAACTAGAGAAAAGGTTAGATTAAAAAGAATTCACCTAGAAGGTAACACCCACGCACACAGGAAATCGACTGCTGACTGGAAACTGAAAAGATGTTGAGTGCCTAGTGCCATCAAATCCAGAGAAAGAACCAGGAAGCCTGCAATAAGGAGGCCACTTTGGAAATGTGGAAACTGTAGAAGGGAAAGAGAACGGGCAAATCTTCCTAATGAGTGAGTGAATGCAAATAATAACTGCTATTAACATCAGTGATTAACACAATGCCATTCAAAGCTGAGTTCTTTGTTAAATGACATTGTCTCATATATGTGACATGTACCAGACAAATCAGTTGAAGGGTGAGGGGAACATAGTCTCTTGGCATGAGCCCGGCTTCTTTCTTTAGCCAGGAAAAATTGCCAAAAGGTGTGCAGAGAGGAATTTTTTTTTTTTTAAAACTCTGTGCTTAAGATTTGGCAACCAGGACATAGCACCAAACTGTCCATGTTGGCAGTTTAATTCTCAATAGATGGTTTCTTGTTTAAACCCAAGGTAGAACTGCTGGACAAGAAAACACTGTCTCACTCCTACTAGGCACATGATTTAAAATACTTAACACCCAATTGCTTCTCTCTCCTCCTGTATAAAAGCTCTTTGTTCTGTACTTGCCTTTGGAAACTCTGCAACTTAGAAGAAATGCCAAACACACTTCCATTCAAGGGAAACACAACTAAAGGTTTTATTTTAGAGGAAGGTGACCTCTGGATTCCTGATTTACAAAGATGGCACTGATTTGTGGTGTACAGGAGGGAGGGAGGAGTGTGACTCACCTTAGTGAAGGCTTTAATAGCACGGGCAAGGCAAGCGTCCTCTACCTCCACGGGAATGCTCTGCAGGCTCACTATGCAGTGCAGCACGCAAAGGATAGTCTGATGCTGGCCCTGTTTTGGCAGAAATCATAATCAAAAGTTATCTGGAAAATGTCTCAAGAAAGCAACTCAATTGTAGAGTGAGCAATTATTTTGTGACTCCGTATTCAATCTCAAAGGCTGAAATATCACCCAAGAGCTCTACCAAGTGTTTACCGTTATTTGTTAATATAGTCTGAAAACCTTTCAGGAGACCAGTATCAAAGCTGGTTAGTTGTAGCATACTGAATGTGAAGGTCAGTGCAATTTTAAGCCAGATGTTTCTCCTGCAGTACACTGAATAGATTTCCCCCCTTTCTGTTTCTGGATGTAATCATTTCTGTTCAGTTAGTAGATCTGACCTATCACAGTGATCTGAGCACTAAGCAGTGAGTACCAGGTAGTCAGATGCTTGGGGATGAGGGGCAGGAGGAGCAGGCAAATGAAGAAAGTCACAGCCCAGCCCTGAAGCAGCAATGCAGACCAAAGGAGGCAGCCCCCAACCTGATGGGGTGAGAAGAAGACTTTGTAAAGAGGGGGTCTACTTCAGCAAAGGAGAAAAGCCATCACCTTGAGCAACCCATAAAGACTTAGCACCAATTTCACTTCTGGAAACCTACTCTAAGAAAAACCTGTAAGCACAGATTATTACCACAATGCCTGTAAAAAAGGAAAAGACCCCCAAACAACATAAATGCCCTCTACATATAAGCTGGGGTGAACTGTGGTAGAACAGACAGCATGATGTTATATAAAATGTATGCACTGTGTCAGAAATCCAAGTTTGAGTCCTGACACATGCTGCAAACCTAGAGCAAGCTGCTTCACCTTCCCTTGTGTGTAAAAAGGCCCTCGATCTCAAGCAATACGAAGGTGAACAGAAGTGACAATGGAAATTATTTCCTGAAGGGCTTGGCCCATGTCTGCCCAACAAAGGTTAATCTCCCTATCACCACCTCCTGTTTTATCTCTGTAATTTAATTGCTAAGAAAATATCCTAAGAAAAGGATTCCAAATATAGACAATTTTATCTTAAAGGGTGTGCACTGTACAACCTATGTGTTTTCACAGCGTGTGTTGGTGTACATGTGAGAGTATGTGTGTGCATGTGCAGCTGTGTGCATATTGTATCTAAGCATGTGTGCGTGGTAGTGACAAATCTTTAGTGAAGCCTTGGAAACGATGCTGTGACCATGTTTAGACCATAGCATAGTAGGTAACTCAAGGCTGATTATTCAATAACATTTCCTAAAAAAAAAAAAAAAGACTACTTTTAACTGAAAATTTAGTACCTTTATATGGCTTAAAATGCTAAATTTTGGGGTGGGGTATGGCTCAAGTGGTAAACTGCCTGCGTAGCATGAGTGAGGCCTTGAGTTCAAACCCCAATACTGCAAAAAGCAAAACAAAACAACAGCAAAAGAACCTAAATTCTGTGTGAAAGGACCTACAATGAAAAGGAAGTTCCCTTCCCTTCCTAGATCCATCGTCCCATAGCATCCTTCCCTAAAGGCAATCTCCATAACCATTCCTATTTTCTTTTCTATGGTCTATATTTTATACATATTTGGTATACATATATATGTAATGTGTATATGTGTGACACATACCCTTTGTAAGAATACAAACGAGTGCATATTCCAACCTATTTCAATAGCTTTCCTATAAACATGCTCAAAACAAGTAAGTAGGTGCAAATGCCCACCAGTGAAAAGGTGGTTCACTGATAGCGTGTCCCAGAGTTAGAGCCCCAGGCATGCGGTACTATCTACGCGAAGCTTACACTATTTGTAGAAAATACCATGTTTTATTTTTAAGCAAAAATGAAGTACAAAATCGTATGCTAAAATGGTATTTACTAAGTTAAAACTATGCATTGATAAAATTAAACGATTTGAAAACATTTTAATGTGACTCTCCTAGGATTATGGACACCCCCAACCCCCATCCCTGGTGCTCAGGACCTTGTGCATGCTAAATAAGCACCTCACCCTAGTCCTTGGTCTTTTTCTTTTTTTTTGAGATTGTCTTACTGTGTAGCTTAGGCTGGCCTTGAACTCACAATCCTCCTGCCTTTGCTTTCTCAGTACTGGGATTATAGGATGTGTACCACCATGCCTGGTGGCCCCTTTTGATTTCTGTATTTTCTAAATGTTTAAGCTGTGTGTCATTTTCTTTTTTTTTTTCTCTCTCCCTGTTTTTCTCTGCAATATTGGGGATCAAACGACAGTCGTGAACATGCTAGGCAAGCTCTCTACCACTGAGCTACATCCCCAGGCCCTCCCTTTTCTCTCTTGGAAAAACTATTAAATTAGATCTAGATAAGTGATTCTGTATGATTTCTTTTTTGTAATGATTTTTTTTTGAGTGTGTGAAACTTACAGTGAGAGCTTTAGATAATTCATTAACTTGTCTAACAGCTCCTTTACCTTCTCTAATAAGAACAGGGCTTCAGCGGCATCCGCTTGCCTGTCAACCAACATGTCCATATCCTCTTTGGTGATAACAGGTTCCTTCAGTTGCTCCACCCAAGACCACATCAAATCACACAGAATGAAAGGGTCTCTCTCACCACATATTCTCTCCCAAGCTCCATCTCGGGAATTTAGTTCTTTCTAAAAATGAAGAGAAGAAGGATTAGACAGAGACAGGGAAAGACAGAGAGAGACACCTGGACCCATAATGGATGGTCCAAAGGCTGCCCTGAGGTGCCATCTGGGACCCCTCTCTGTCCCTGCACCTCCAGGTGGGGCTACAGGGCTAATTCAGTCTCCCTGTGTGACACTCATCCCCACCTCCCATGGTATTGGTTGATTACTGAGAGGAAGGACGCTAAAGTGGGCAGGGCTGTACTCCATTCAGAAACCACAGAGGCAGCTCACGAAGAGGGAAGAGAGTCTTCCTTCTCAGACGTCTGATGAACAAAACTGAAGTGCTGATTGCAATGAAATAGCATGGTAGATGAGAAAGTAAAAATAACAGGGGCATTTAAATTAACCTGGGATCTCAAGAAAACTTTTGTTTTTCTAATAAAAAAAGTGTTTTGGTGGTACTGGGGTTTGAACTGAGGGCCTTGAACTCAAGAAAAACTTTTGACTGAAATTTCAAAGTGCATAAAAAGAAAAACTACTTGAAAACTGGTAAATGTAGTATTTCTTTTAAATGCCCTTTTAGGATCCTATAACCAAATAACAAACTCTGTATCCTGGAATTTGCAAGGGTGAAAATAACTTGCTAATACTCCAAACACCTGGAGATAATTTAAGAATGAGAGTTTAAAACTTCACCTCACAGAGGGCAGGGTAAAAATGCAATGAGAATTTTAATTAATTTCTGATGGGACTCAGATTCATTTTTTTGTAAATTGAATATAAATTTTCTATAGTAACAAGTGTAATAATTGCTACCACTCAGTCATTTACATGGCCAGTAACTTGCAGCAGGCCTTTGGTGGGACAGAAACTATAGCACATGACTCATCTCTAACTTTCACAGCAACCCCACAGTGAGGCCCCACACAGGTAAATGTAAGAGAGATGAAATACCTCGCCTGGGAGCCCAAAGCTAGAAAATGGCAGAGGAGGTGCCCCACCCAGTCTGCCCATCTCCAGCTGTGTTGACCATGCCACGAGGACTCTCCAGCAGTGAGTTTCTCTTTATCATCTTATAAATAAGCCAATACTTTCAGTTGTCTGCATTCTTTCCTATCTTGCAGATCATGTATGGAACAGAGTAGGTTTTGATTCAATTTTACGCAGCTAAAGAGGAGATAAGGGGGCAGAACTGACACTGCTGAAACACCCTCTCTTAGTGAAAATGACTACTGCACCGCGATGCTTTGTGAGCCTTTCTAGTGTGGTGAAGAAGATGAAAAGCTGCACCCTGCTGCAGACGAGCCATATGTCAAGAGCAAGTCACCTAACCTCTGTGGCCCTTAATCTCATTGTGTACTGAATTCATGAGGCTAACAAAGGATCTATAAATAGCATCACCTGCCTTACAGGACTTCTGTGAAAATCACATGAAGAGTTGAACTGACCAGAGTAAAGTGTACTCACAGTGGGGATACGTCAAGAAACCCCTTTGAACATTGACTTTGGAACTGATAATGAAAGACAGGGCTGTAAAATAGGTGGTTGTGTGTGGAGGGGGTATTTGCGGGAGGGTGAACAGAGGAGATGAAGGTGAGGGAATATGGTCAATGGACTTCATATGCATATATGAAATACAATGATGAAACCTCTTATAATTGCTTTAAGTGGGTTGGGGAGGGTTTTGCTGGGGGGGAGATGGTGGGGCAATCTAAGCAATGTACAATGTAAGCCTACTCAGAATTGTCACAATGAATATGTCCTAATTTTTTTAGAAAAAAAATCCACATGAAATAATACATGTGAACGTGTACTTTAGAAGTCTTACTGTAGGCACAGGTGGCACTGTTCAAATAATGCTTGTATTGCTTTTTACCAGAATTCAGCTGCTTTTTTTGGAGGGGGGGGTTGTTGAGGGTGGGACTGGGGTTTCAACAGCTGCTTTTTAAAAACTATTGAAAGATCTAAAATAAAATCTAGGTAGGAAAACAAAAGGCGGGCAACTATCTCAAAGGTTTGTGGTTCACCTCCAGAAAATGCTTTCAAGCATGCTGCATGTAGGAGCAAAAGCAAACTGTACTTAGGCAGCACAGGTACAGCTCATGTGGGCATTTGGCTGAGGTGGACACAGGGCTGACCCAGGAGTGGGTGTGTGATATCCTTGATCTAAAACAGAAGATCCTTGTGCTTGCTAACTTAAACAAAAATTTTTTTGGTAGTGTCGAGGTCTGAACTCAGGGCCTTATGCTTGCTAAGCAAGGGGCTCTGCTGCTTAGGTCATGCCCCCAGCCCTTTTTGCTTTACTTATTTTTCAGGTAGGGTCTTGCTTTTGGCTAGGGATGGCCTCAAACTTCAATCTCCTACCACTGCTCCCACGTAGCTGGGATTACAGACGTGCATCACCATGCCTGGTTTGCTTTACTGAAGTCTTGCTAATTTTTTGCCAGGGCTGGCTTGGAATGGCAATCCTCATGTCAGTTTCCCAAGCAGCTAGAACTATAGGCATGAGCAGCCACACCAGGCCACTTGCTAACTGCTGACACACAGTGATGATACACGGGAGACACTTGCTGACTGAATGGAGTATTTTTTCAGTTTAGACTATGAAATAAAGAAAGCAATTCATTTTAGAAGAAAACAACACATTTAACTTTTTGTTAGGCAAAACACTATAATTCAGATGGATTTCTCCCATCATGCAGCTGTAAGCTAGTGTGAAGCTCCAAATATTATTTTCACATCTGCATCCGGAAAGACACTAGCACTCTTAGAAACGCCTTGTTCAGTTAATGGTAGTTTTTAAAGTAATTCACAGTAGATTAAGGGTTGACAAGTCAAGATTTCACTGAGCTAGGACGCCCCAGTGAGCCCTATGCTGGGCAGTTTACCTGTTGCTGTTAAGTAGGTTTATAAGGACTGACTTTTCTCTAGACCAGATGGTCCTTCATTTAGGGAAAAGACAATGAATTAAGACTCTCTTCCTAGTCAAGGCACAACACAAAAAGGGGTGAAAATTTAAAATGTCATATCTAATGTAAGTAAGAGCCAAGAAAGGGACTTCAAAATCCTCCTTTCAGATAACGAGAGACAACATGGAGGCCTGTGGACATTCCCATTTACTTTCCTGTGGACATTCCCATTTACTTTCCATTTGGAGTCAGCAGAGGAGGCTGAGAAGACAGACCTCATTTGACACTTCTGCCAATACACTTTGGGAAATTATTTGACTTTATTTATGTCCCTGGATCAGTGGTTCCCAAGGTGCAGTTTCCTGTGCCAGGCCTCAGATTACTTTGGGTCAGTTCTGTGGGGTGGGTGGCCACAAACCCAGAAGCAAAGAAGGAAGTTACCAACACTGATGTATGAAGCAAACCCTGTGCTAAGTGTGTTCCTGCACACAGCAATTTAAATTAAGCTGCACAACTACCCTGTGCCACTTCTACACCATCAGTTCACATCATAACTGGGAAGCTTCAAGTTTGAAAGTCAAGCATGATGCAAACATATCCAAATAAGTCTGGAAAACGTGTTATGTTTTTGTTCTGACATAACTATTCCCATATATATATGAAATTAAAAGAAATTGAAGTACCTGCCACATTTCTACTTTCTTTTTCACTTCTTCTTTTTCTACAAACTCATTTAAATTCGCGAGGGCTTTGGCTGCCAGTATTCTCCTTGCTTCGACACTCAATTCAGGCTCAGATAGGGATTTGTTGTCCTGGGTTTCGTGTCCAAATAGGAACTGTGTCTTAGGCGTGGAGCCACCGTCTGGAGTGCTGTAGGGAGTCCTGCCCTCCTCCTCAACAGAACTTCGGTCCCAACCACCACAAGGTTCACAATGACAGTGGGGCACTTGCTGGTGAGAAGGGTTTGGATCTTTGGGGACATTTGCAAAGTTGGGTGTGACTAGTTCCCCAGGGTTATGTGAACAGATGCCCACAGAGAAGGTTCTACTCCGTTGTATTTCTTTTGCAGTGTGCTTCCTATAGAAAAGTGGCGATCCATCATCCTTGAGTCCTTCCAAGCCTCCACATTTAGACTGATTCCAGAAAGAAAATGTACTGCGAACCAATGCTTCCTTATTTAAACCTAGCTCTGGAGATGGTGTGATGTAACAATGGCTGACAGGCTTCTGCAGCTGGAGGCTGTGGCACAGCAAATCCTGGGCAGGCACAGTCCACGGAGTCTCCCCTTGCTCCAGGAGAGCCTCGGCCCTCTTTAGGTCTGAGTCACTGTAGCTGAACCTCCTTTTCAGATGAGTCAGGGGCTGAAGGCACTCAACGTTCCGCCTTTTCCAAAGAGGGTCAAACTCGTGCTCATTAGGAACAATCACATCCTGATTCTCAAACTCCACTGCCACTGCAGGGGGGCTGAACGGGTCAGAGGCATCGCTGTTGTGCCTCAGTAACTCTTTATCCAGCCGCATTGTGACCATCTCAGACACAGTCTTTTCAATTTCAGCAGAGAGTCCAGGTCCTTCCAACATGTCCTTCATCACCATTGGCCGGTTCTCAGCCAAGTCCAGCAGCAATTTGCACACTAGGTGGATGATTTTTGGCACATGTTTCAGAAGTCGTGCCTCATAACCATGAAGCAGATGACGCTGACGAATTAGGTATTGGGCTAAGGTGACAGCATGTGCCTTGGGATCACAGCAAGCGAAGATATTGCGGAGGGGAGTCAGAAACTGAGTAAACTCTCGGACACAGAGCAGCTGTCCTCTGGTTTGTATGGAATTGGGTCGCTTTGCCCGCACAAATATAATCGCTTGGTCGGCAGTCATTCTTGTTGCAAAAACTAAATAACAGGCTATCAAGACACCTGAACAGTGAAGAAGAGGACAATGGCGTGAGAAAAGCTTTTAGTTTTATCTGTCAGTCTTTGATAATTTAAAACTTGAATATATGTCAGGAACCATATAAACACAAGTACACTTGAAGGACAGTCATAATGTTAATTTTGTAACATTTTGTGTGTTCATTATTGTTGTGTTCCCCTTATTAAAGAAACTTTTATCTACTTGACTGCATGGCAGTCCATCCCTGTGACTGAGCCAGCAGGGACTCAGAGAAGGGCTGGCACAAAGCTGGCACATGAGGAAGCATGGAGTAGGGAAAGCATGACTGAGCAGAGGATCTGGCCTGGCCCATCTAGCCTCCTGCTGCCCAGCTTCAACATGGAAGAAAGCCAAATCATGTTTTCCACTCTGAACAGCTCTTGAAAATTCATTCCATGCACTTTGTGCTTGGAACTTCCCACCCTGCCATCTTTGCCACCAACCACTGGAATGTCCCAGCTGGGCACGCTACTTAGGTAGTTCTTTGTTGAGGGTTATTCACATTTATAGCCTACTTTTGTTCCTGACAATTCTTCAGGAACAAAAAAATTCTATATTAATCTGTGTTTTAACCCAGACCATAATATAACTCTGGTTTTTTCATTAGCATGTAGTATTAAGAAACCAGGCTAAACAGTGTGGATATTATCAATGAACATCTAATTAAGATAACTAATGAAAATATTAATCAATTCAAATATAATAGTCAATTAATATTACAGGCAAGTCGAAGACACCTGTGTGATTCATAAGTCTGTAAAGATCTTATTATGCCTGAAACCCAGAACATTTGAAAATTGCATGCTCTCAGATTTATATAGTAGGATATCTTTCTCACTGGGATGTACAAAATATATGAAGTGTCTACAGCACCATCGTGTGCAGTCTTCAGGAACAAATGGCATTTCGGCTTGACTTTAAGTGCCAATGATCCCTAGCTGAGTTAAGTCCCAGCCCTGAGAACGCTCTGAGGCAGCTGAGAAATCCCCGGGCAGGCACATAGGTACCTGAGGTTGGAGTTGAACCACATGTGTGGTGCACACTAGGTGTTCAGACTAAACCACACAATATAACGATATCAACTCTAGGGCCTTTATTTTTGTCCTCGGGCCAGCAGTGTAATGAGATTGTCTGAGTGTTTAAGTAAAATCACTGATTTTTATGTAGAATTTTATGCACAGATAAAGCCTCCTTCACAAGCACAGTCCTTACATTTTCAAAAGCAAAAAAGCACATGAGCTTTGGAGTCAGACAGCCAGAGATGTAAATCTTCACCTGCCACTTACTAAATGGAGCAAATTACTTAACTTCTCTCAAACTGCAGTTTCTTCAGCTCACACTGTTGCTAAAGGTTTTAAAAGGCAGCAGATGTAAAATGTTTACAACCTAGCAGATAAAACAATGCTTGCTGTTATCCTGGTTATTTTGGTTAAGAAAAATTGCATTCTTAAAAGACATTATGTAATAAAATGAAGTATTGATATCTCCCTTTACATAAGAAAGCAGTAGTTTTAGAAACCTGTTTAAATGCTATGGTTTTTTTCATCTGTGCCATTAACAATATGCTCACCAACATAAGGCCACTGTAACTATCAGCTTAAAACATCTCAAATAGCTTTTACTTATCTTCTTCCAGCTGACTCTGAAACTTGGATAGGATTCTAGAAATTATTTATTTTTAGAATTAGAATTAGGAAATCTTATTCCTTACATGCTTAAGTGTGCCTACAATACAAGGAAACCACTCCTAGAACTTACCTGTTCGGCCAAGCCCTGCATGACAATGGATGGCTACTTTTCCTTCCTGTAAGGCAAATGTCATCACCTTCACCATATCTAAGATGGCAGTAAGAGATGCCACACCATAATCCTTCCATCCAAAATTGTAGAAATAAACTAGGCAGTAAAAGAAAAACAAAATTAACATTCAGAAAAAAAAATACCTACAAAAACATTTGAATAAAATGAGTGAATTTATGAAAAGTGCGAGTTTTGGGGTTTTCTTTTGGTTTTTTTGTTTTTTTTTATAGTAAAGAGTAACTTACTAGGGAAAGCAAAGTACAGGCTGTGAGATAAGGGCCAAATGCCAAAGTTTACATTTAGAAGGCACAAGCCTAAAATAACAGGCTTTTTACATTTTCAGTTAGCTTAATTGGTAAATGGCTCATAAAGCATTTCTGTATTATTTAAGACAGTTCCTGATGAAATTCAGTTGGAAAGAATTATAAAAAAGTAGAATTAGAAGTTAATAAAGTCACTGGCCCATGGAAAAGTTACTCAGCTATGGCAGTAAGTAACACACATTCTTATTTAAGCATGGAAATGTGTCTAAAATACTGATAAATGGCTAAAGATAGTATATATGGATTTTCCACTTAGGGATACAAATAAAAAAGAAAAAGCTAAACTTTGATCTTCTTTGGCCTGGTCTGAATAACATGTGTTGAGTGGACTCCATCGCAACACTCCTGTGACTAAGGCCATCTGGGTCTGCCCCAGGAAGAATCCTAGACATCCTTCTAGAGCAGGTCTAACAGCAAAAAAAGCTGTCCAGGTTCCTTTCTTCACTACCACTGCTAAGCTGTGTGGTCTCAGGCAACACGATAACTCTGTCTGTGGCCTCGTGTGCAAAACAGAAACAACTGTGTTACACAACTACTGTAAGGATTAACTGAGGTAAAAGTGTCTGACAAAGCGCAGCCATTACTGAATAGGAGACTTATTACTGCAGGGTCTCCTCACAACATCCCTCTTACCAGAAAAAGAGAAACCCTGCACTCCGACAGCAAGGCTAAAGAACAGTAGCATCATTTAAGGTCAAAGATAGCCCATTTTCATTTTCTGGAACCCCTGCTGCTAATGAGTTGGTGTTTAGTTCCATCACCTCTTTAACCTGAGAGCCCAGTGGACAAAAGTGTCTTGATAATTCATAGGGAAGAGGGTGGGAAGGAACTTACTGCCAGCTTCCATGAAAGCTTCAGGAAGGTATGTGAAGCCACTTTCTTGTTCCAGAGAGTTCCCACAGCTAGCATGCTCACCAGGGCGCTGCAGATTGATGATTGTTTTTATGCCATGACTAAAAGGAAAAAGGGCAATTGGTCACACTGAGAGATGGAGCTAAAAAATTAGCTAATTTCTGTGTTAATAAACATTAATAATTGCTCTAAAAACTTTGTCATTGCTTTGAAATAATGTCTTCACGGTCTATTTTTTAAATGCAAGCACTTTTTCACTTGATGGCACACACAGTAAAAGAAAACCACACAGGTTTGCTCACTACAGCTGTGAGTGATGCAATGCGGCACTTACCTGAGGAACTGCTCAATGATGTGGTACTTCTCCAGGAGCTCAGAGGATGGGCGAGCCATGGCCAAGATATTGTCAGTGACCCTGAAGATGCAGGAGGGATTGGTGAGATACCCAGAATCCAGAAAGTTCTACCTCCAGGACTGATAATTTATTTCTATGATTTTAACAACTCCCTAAGAATATCCTTATACAAAAATCTGGCTTCAATTTTGCATCATGATTAGAGAAACCCTGTAGCTTCTTAGATCCCTGGAGAAAAAAATCTAGACCATATAATATTTATGGATTCTGATAAAATATCCCTAAGGACTCTCAAGAGATTCTAGCAGACGTAATGGAGAAACCTCAGCTAGTGCAAAGGTGACAAGTCTTCATTACTTATCCAGTGGGGAGGTCCTGGGAGACACTTCTGATTACTAAACTAACTGAAACTCAGTTACTTGAGACATTGCACGGGGACAGTAATGCCTGCCTCACAGGGTTGGTGTGAGAATCCAATATGATGTGAATGTAAAAGTCTTTAGTATGAACCCTGGTCTATGGTTACAAATAAATATTGAGTTGTAGTTTAGCAAAAAATATGGGCTCCCAAGTCAATTGGGTCTGGTTTCAAATGCTGACTTTCTTACTTTCTAGCTGCGAAGCAAAACAGTTAACCTCTCTGGAGCATCAATACAATCAACAACACACAAGAGTTGTGTGAAAGTGAGTGATAATAATTTGAAAGCATTTTTCATAGTGCCTGTCCTGTACTCAAATGGATGTTCATGGATGAATGAATGGATGAACAGAGGTTGAATAGAGGGGTATCACTCTTGTTAGGCTGCTGGCTTTACTCTGTTCTGTTTAAGTCTCTCATCAGGGACCTGTGACCTTCACTGCTGCTGTGGGTCACATGAATCTCAGAGGAGTAATGACATTTAGGTTGGCAGGGTAGGATCCGAAAGACACCTTCCCCTCTAGAACAATGTATACAATTTAACGTGGACCCCAAAGTTTTGGCATTCCCCAAATTTACTAGTATTAGGATATATGAGGGGAGATAAATATAAAAGCAGCAGAGGTGAAAAAGGCTCACATGGTTTAATCAATAATAAAGCAAAAATATCAATGTGCTCTAAAATTGTATTATTAAAATTTTAGTTGTCTGACTATGTCTCTCAATGTTTGCGTCTTGGTGCCATGACTGTGACTGTGATAGAGCTGAACATAATCTATGGACAGCAATAATGACAGTGGATTCCAAACTGTCGCTCTGGATGTCACAGCAAATCCAGTATAAAAAAGTACAGGCTGCAAGTCAGATAAGCTGTATAAGCTATGTAAATCAACAAATATCTAATTTGAAAATGATTCATTGCTAGAATTCTTTAAATAGTCCCTCTAAGTGTGATTCAAATGTGATTTGATTATCAGTGCTTTTCAGATGTCACTCTATCAAAAAAGATTATCTCACCAGTTTATTATTACTAGTAAAAGGCAGTATGACTCAAGAATGGTATGAATTGCACTTATACACCAGAAACAATGCAAACACCTTCGACTGTTACTTGAACTTACAACCTGTGTCACTGCAACTAAGGCAGACTGAAGAGTATTTTTGTATGTATGAAAATTCATCCTTACAGACAGAAGATAAGAACACCAAAGAGCGACGTAAAAGCTAACCTGTAGGATGCCGGGTGCAGATGGCTCATGCCTGTAATCCTAGCTACTCAGGAGGCAGAGATCAGGAGGACTGCAGTTCGAAGTCAGACTGGGCAAACAGTGCATGAGACCCTATCTCAAAAATACCCATCACAAAAAATGTGTGTGTGGGGGGGCTGGTGGAGTGGCTCGAGGTGTAGGTCTTAAGTTCAAGCCCCGGTACACACACACACACACACACACACACACACACACACACACACACAGCTAACCTGCAGGAAACTGAAGAACCACATTTGTATCTCACTATTTTCTCAAACTTATAGCTGCATATTTTTATTATTCTAGAAATTTCTGAAATTTAAGAGCTATCTAATTGCCCATTTCTTTTAGACACTTTACATAAATCATGTTACTTAATTTACAAACATACCCCTATGGGTTTTGGCTTAATTATTTCCATTCTATAGATGAGCTGGTCTAGGGGTGAAGTCAGGGGTGGCTTCCAAAGGGGACTTGGAAGCCCACACTGCTCCTTCCACAGCCCCTGCCTGCCAGCTCACACACAGCTCCTCCTTTGTTCACCGTACATAGCGATGTGAGACCACTTACCAAGACGAGTAAACCCCCTTAATGGCTTGCTCCTGCTCGCTCCAGCGGGCTGGGTTCTCGTACTTGCATGACCTCCCGCCACATGCCATGGAGCATGCCATGTGTCCAGGGATGACATGCCTTAAACGCTCTCCCACTTTTGTGTACTTCGGTGTTGGACGTCCTGAATTTCCTAAAACATACGAGGAAGGGAAGATTCAAAATCCCATTCTCCCAGTGGGATGACAGCACTGAAAACAGTTTCTTTTAATCTCAGGATTGTAGGCAATGAGCCAGTGCTAAATCCCCTTCCGCTAAACTTAAAAACCTTTCCCATGCAATAATCTCCACACATTATACTCATAAAAAAAGGAAGAAATCGTAAAAGCAGATCTTTTTCAAGGGGATAGTTGTATTCAAAAACTATACTTTTAATGAACAACCACAAAATATTCACTCATGTTATCTCCTCTTACATATCCATTCAACTTCTTGGCATAATAGATAGCAAAAAGTATGGCAGAATTAACTGTTAATATTTAAGAAGGTATGAACACAACACAACCTATTCACATTTCATAAATTTAGATACAAAGGTGTAGCAATTTAGAAGAAGTAAGAGCTTTACTTTTTCTCTCAGGAAAAGTTGGGTTCCCTTCTGCACGGCTGACGGAGGACACAGCCACCATCACCTGGAGAGAGGACGAGGACAGCAGCTTTGTGGCAGAGCCAAAGCCAGAGCCAGAGCCACGCCGGGCCTGCTGTAGCCTGAGGACTGGGTCAGAAGTGGAGTGCCTGCGGCCCTGCAGGAAGGAGCTGAGGAAGTGCACAGCTGAGGGCCGGCGGGGTGCCTCCTGCAACTGCATGGCACCAGCTCCAGGGAGGTAAGAGTTGGAGGAGGCAGGGAGCAGTCAGTCCTGGCTTGCTCAGCGAGGAAGTACAGAGACACAGGCACCGCTCTGTCTGATCTAAGAGCTATTCAGGATAGGCTGACTCGTTTCCATAGTGACCAACAAAGAAACTACTGATTCCCACTTAGATCTGAACAGGCAAGAATCCTACATGAATGGATTGCGTTTTGGACAATTTGTTCAAGTATACTGAAAGATAATATGCATTTTAAAGAATTATTCCTTAACTTAGATTACTCTGTTTTGCTTCTCAAATGCACTTAAAGATCTGCTCAAAGAATTGCTTCCAAAGTATTGTAACAAATTTAGAAAATGGCTTTCTGATGCAAATACTGCCTTTTACACCTTTACAAGGTTTAAGTTCTGTAATCCCTTAAGCCTGTCTCTGGATATTTGGGGGAAAAAATCTTTTCTATGCTTCTTTGGAACAGGGTAGATAAAACGTTCACTATAATAAAGATATTAAAAGATCATTTAATTTTTCATAACCAAGTACCGCCCCACATTTGTTGATAAGGACTGCTAAAGGCACACTTGGATAGAACAAGTAAGGACATTTTAGAGCTGATAGATGACCGGAAGATAGTTAATTTCATATTTTATTTTCAGAATATGAAATCCCAATTCTTGGTTGTACCCTGTTGGACAAGAACAGTTATGAATAACTACAAGTAGTTACAAGTAGGTAGGCCTCATCAGAAACTCAAAAACACAACTCTCTGTCTTTTGTTGCTATGGAGGAGAAAGCTTTAATGTCTTGGTGGAGCAAATGAAGCAATTTCACTGAAGTATCACATTCTTAAAGGAATTAGATGATAAGGAGGTTGCAGTCTGAGGATAAAGGATGGAAAGAAAACAGAAACTTCAACCACCACCAATGTGTACATTGTCCGCCTCCTCCCTTGGTAATGTCAGGCTGCACCCGCATTCTTCTTTCATTCTCGCTGCACAAATGGCATTTCAGTCGTGCACAAATGGAAACAGAGCTGCTGCCTTAGATAAGGTTCATTTCTGTTTTCTTTTAATGGTTATAAATGCTATAAGCTAGCTTCTTCTTAACTGCCACCCTCAGTCCCCAACAATATGTGCTTTTGTCAAATAAGACTGGGACAGAGAAGTGGCATTTGGTGCTCCAATTCCTACTCCATGCGTAGTAGTGTCATGCCCTTGTTATTTAATACATAGACACGGGAGGAGTTTTTTATATCAATCCAGAAAGCACAGCTTCCCTGTCTGGAGGAATAACCTGAGCAATATTCCAGGCTAGGCACACATGACCCTCAAGACAACACAGGAGACGGTGATCCACAAATGTGTGCGCGAAAAGATATGGAGAGGATAGCAAGTGGATATTTTACAACAATATTAGATGATCATTTAATTTTTCTTAACCAAGTGCTCCCTCATTCTTCTTGATAAGAACTGCTAAAAGATCACTTGGATGGAGTACGTAGTGACATTTTAGAGCTGATATACGTATCGGAAGACAGTTAATTTCCTGTTTTTATTTCAGAATATGAACTCCCAATTCTTGGTTGCGCCCTGTTGGAAAATAACTATTAGTTACGAGTATGAGTAACTACGAGCACCTATGCCTTTCAAAAACAGGAGTTCCTTGCCTTGGAGAGGCAGGGGTGAGAAGGCTATGCTGTGGCCTGACAAGGGAAGTGGCTATGGGGCTGGGGACACTTCAGGCGTGGGCTGCCATGGTGCTGGAGGTGATGTCAGGACTCTGGCTCAAGCGGCTGGTGAGATCTTGCAGCCAGTTCCCACGCAGCCCATGCGCAGGTGAGACAATCCAGCCAGCTCCATTGGAGGCGCAGGTATCTGAAGCATCAAGGAGGAGGTGTCAGTCAGTGAGTGGTGCTGGGGAACCTACACGACAGGCAGCTGTGGAGAGAAGTCCAAAGTGACTCTGCTTCCGGCTGTACTGAGAATGAAAATTAAATTTGGTGAGGGGGAGGACTTATTTGGACTAAACTAAGGAATACATACATCTCAGGAATAATTTCTGCTGTGAAATCTTGAGAACTGGGCTCTCCACAAATAAACACCTAACAAGTGAGCTGACCCAAGTTACTACACAGCTGGTGTCCCTGTCGGGGCCTAAGGAAATGCAGTCCAGTGCAAACTGTACTCTGCCACTGTGCCAGGCAAAAGCAGCCTTCTCAGCATGATTGCTCAGCGTGCTGACGATGGGAGCTGGGAACACATCCTGCTTCCATCTGGCAGTTCAAGTGGAACTGTGCCCACCTGTGGGCATGAGAGACGCCTGCATGAGCCTTCACTTCCCCACTTGTCTGAAGAGCTGCTCTAAAATTATGCCTTGGTGAAATGCCCAATTCACAGCCAATCCATTTTTAAAAATTTATATCTTATTTATATCACGGAAGGCTTTCCAACAGGGAGGTATACATTCAGTCCCTGTCCAAATGCTAGCCTGGTTCTCTTCCCCAACTTGTCTGTATACTTGTGGATTTCCCCCATCTTTGTACATCACATCGTGCTTCTTCCTATCACTATAGGAACATTTTCCCATTCTGCTTTTGTCTTTTCATAATTTTCATTTCATGGAAGTACAATGATTAATACACATTAATTTGATGCATAACAATTTACCTAATTGTTCCTTCACTGTTAGACATCTGGGTTCCTTATCAATGCTTTTTATTTAAAAATAAGACAGTAAACTTTTCAAACTAACTAGATCTTTTTTTTTTTCTTTTGTGGTACTGGGGTTTGAACTCAAGGCTTCCACTTGCAAGGCAGGCACCCTGTCATCTGAGCCAGAACTCCAGCTGATCTAGAGCCTTTTTATTTATACATTTCTCCTTCACTAAATTCCTAGGAATGATATGACTGATGAGCAAAATTAATGTTCAGAGCTCCTATTTTTATTTAGTTGAGCCTTTGTACATTTTGAGAACCAAGTAGAAAGAAGCAGAAAGAAGGAACATTTTCAGCAACTCAATGCATGTTTTTTTTCCTGGGGTCAAGTGAAAAACAGCATTAAAATGAGAATGCAGGGATACTATATATTTCTGATCGGCTTTTGTGCCAACCTCCTTTGCTCCAGAACTCTCACCGCCTCTACCACCCTTGCCTTCTAAGCACATTGTTACGCACAGCACGTTGCCCGGAAAAATCATGCAAACAACTTTTGAAGGGGCTGTGTTCGAATTCTTCAACAGAAGACTTTATACTTGCAGCAAACTGGTCTTTTGTATTCAATTCAAAATACTCTTTAATTGTGTGGATCCATTTAGCTAGTTATATAAACCCACACTGGGTCTCACACATGCTGTCAAGACAGCATATCTGTTTGACCATTTTTAAAAAATCAATTTAATGTATATATGAAAATGTTAAAACAAAACCTCCCGTACAACTATCATGTACTAATAAAAATGTTTAAGAAATCAGTTTAAAAACTTAAATTAGGACAAATTATCAACTGCTAATGAGGAATTGTTTAGCTTCTGAGAGACAGCATTTTCATTTGTATTTAAAATCATCAATAGGAAAAAAAAGCAGAAGCCATAGTTTTAGATAAACAGAAGCTGCAAGACTTTTCATTTCCATTTCATGTCTTACATAACAAGGAAATATTTCCGTGTGAGAGTGATTTTATGAAGGCCATGCTTACCACAGACACTTAACAGATAACATGGAGGCCACAGAGTCTTTACAATGTCACCCTCTTCATCTTTCTGCTTCCCTTTTCTTCCTCCACAGCTAGAATTTACTGGCAGATCAAAGAATCTATTTTATTCCCTCTGACAATGTATTTTTCTAAATGAGTACATACGAAAAAGATTGGGTTCTCTTCATTTCATTAATATAAAAATCATAGGATACTGTGCCTTACTTCCTGTCTCATTCTTCTCCCCACTTCCAAATACGGGGTCACCAGAGAAAAAGCAGGCTCCAAGAGAAGGCAGGCAAAGAACACAAGAGGAAATCCACCCAGCCAGGCCTGTACTTCCTGTACTACTGAGTGAGCAGCAGAAAGATGGTAGCTGTCATGCTGGGGTCTCCAGACCAAGCACCTCTGTGGCCACTGGTGGATTTGCAGTCAGGCAGTCAGACAACCAAATTTAGAATAACAATCAAAGAACAAAATGAGATATGGTCATTGAAAATGCAGAATGATCATACTCCTGAGAGACAGAATAAAAACAAGCCTACTACACAGCACCACTGAGTACTCAGCCTCTACCTCTTTAATTTCTACAAGGAGGTGATTCAAACACCCAACATCCTAAGCAAATCTGGACCACCAAGGACTGGGAATTTCCTTCTACATTCAAGATTTCAGCAAGGGCTGTTCTTTACTGTCTAGACTCACACAATAGACCTGTCGCTTTGTGGGAGATGGAAGTATATCCACTCTCATTCTTAGGTGCACAAATGAGTCACTTTCAGGAATTCTGCTGCAATGCTGACTTTCCAGCTTCATGTTTTCCCTTTTTGTGACTGGAGGTTCACTATTTTTTTTTTTAAATTTATTAGCACATAATATTTTTACTGGGGGAAACACGGTGATATTTTCATATGTGTTTAGAATATATGTTAATTAGATTTACCCCCTCCATGTGCTCCTTCTTTCTCCCTCCCCCACTTCTTAGAACAATTTCAACAGGTTTCATTCTCTATTTTCATATACAAATACAAAATACACCCACCATATTCACCCTTTCCTTATGCCCACCCCCTCCCACTGACACTCACCCCTGGAAAAGACCTATTTTACCAGAAGGGTCACTTCTTACAGGGCAACCGTTAGCTCAAAATGGTTTCTGATATTGAGTTGAGTCAATTTGTCTACATATTGGTTCTAGTTCTTCCCTCTTCCCACACCACCCCCCCGACAAAGCATTTTTTTGACTATAAAGGTTTTCAATTATTTGGATTTTTGAACATAGAATTCCTCCAAGAATGTCCCAATTTAGATTAAGTCTTCTGTTTTTCAAGTGTTCCTCTAGTTTCTCATTATTACGGGCCTGAGCCACTGGCAATTTTGAATATTTTTGAGAGGATTTATTTTCATCTAATCAATCTCAAACTTGAAGAA